CTGATGCCGCATTTCTCCTCACAGAGCCCAGCCTCCTGGATAACCTGTTCTGCATACAGGTTGAAAAGGTATGGAGACAGGACACATGCCTGGTGTACACCCTTCCCAATTTTGAACCATGCAGTTTCCTTGCTCTGTTCTGATGACTGTCTCTTGGTCCAAGTATAGACTGACTACAATCTTCAGGTAGTCAAGCAAGAATTCAACATGCCCTTATCACACCAGGCCAGTTCACTGTGCTCTGCTTTGTTTCCTCCTAGTCTCTGTTCAGTTTCTCCTTCTAGCCTGAACTTGATCCACCTTCTTTGCCCTTCACCTTGGTGTTCAGAGCTGCAGGGTTATCAGCGCTATCTGCTTCAGTGGGTTTCTTGTGTCTTTGTTGTAGAAAGCCTGGGAAGCTTCTTTATTTGGTCCATTATTTTCTGGAAGTCTATTCTTTTAATCCTCAACTGTTAACAAAAGCCAAACAAACAAAAAAATCCCTTGAACACGATTCTCATTTGAAAAATGGACAGATAATGATATAGAAGAGCCTCAAATACACATAATATTTGCAAGGGAGATACAAATGACTCCCGAGTATTTGTCACATCCACAGAGACACATTTTGTCCATCTTTCTTTTCCCCCCAAATGCTTCTTCTCCCACGTGTAACAATTACTGACCATGGATTATAAATTCATTCATAGATCAATGCTATACCGTGTTCCAAATGATGGCATAATTATGGGGCTGGAGGATAAAGGTTGGTAATTTTAAATGGTGCCCGGGCACTGCTAATCATATACCAAACAATAATAGTAATAAATCTTCCTTTAGACGGAATTCATTTAGGCAACATGTATTTATGGAGAAATCACAGCTTTCAGACCCATAGTTCAGCCATGGCCTGCACAGTGAAAGCAGAACAGACCCTAATTTGTAAAGTATGGATATAGCAGAAAGAGAGCAGAAAAAGGAAGTATTATGGGTTAAGCTTCTGGAATGAGAGATTCAGAAGAGGCATACTGAGCCCTTTCAGAAGCCTAGTGTGAGACACTGGATGGCAGGCAGGACCCTGGAGAGGGACACACATTCCCAGCACTGTAGTTGGCCAACATATCTGAGCCGGGCACTGCTGTTTATGACTCTGTCAATCAAGAGATTTGCTTGCTTGGCAATGCATACTGTTTTCTAAGACTAGGTCAAGTTTCTAGTAGAGAGTTGTGGCCTATAAGTGTTCCTACCCCAGTTATTGTTCTGGTATACTCAATTGTTACAAGTTCAATTCCATTCTGGTTTTGATTCTGACTTAGAGCACCCTTGGAAGACAGGGTAGAACTGCCCCATTGAGCTTCCAAGGCTATATATATATAATCTTTCCAGAAGCACACTGTCTCATCTTTGTTTCTCAGATGCTTGGTGAGTTTGAGGTCCCAACCATTTGGTTAGCAGCCTAACAGATACCATAGGACACCACCAGGGCTCCTTGGAAATCAGTCATCCATAAAACATTTTACAGTTATACATGTGAAAATTTTAAGTTGTAAAAGCAGAGCAGTCTAGGGCATTTTTGAAAAACAATGAAACATAATTTCCTCCCTTGGATCTTTAAAAATAATTTCTTCCTTTCCCATCAAAGATGATTCCTTCTGTTCTCTGAGATGCCCACTCTCTCCCTTCTGGGGCACAGAGGTGACGGCCAGCACGTTTCCTCAAGGATCTAAGCAGAGGCAAACCATCCATCACTTGCTGATTGATGCACAGGTCCAAAGTTTCCTAATGACAGCATGGATCTGCTGAAGCACAACCCAGCTGCATGGATCCAGTTCCCTGAACCCTGAGAGCAAGAGGCAGAGCCTGTAATGCTGCTAAATGGAAAAGGCCAACGATGCGGCTGGGATCCCCAAGAGATTCCCACTTCTCCCTTCAGTTCTTGTGGGAGAGAGAGAATACGCACAAGCTTGCATGAAATGACCTGGGAAATCTCACTTTGTTGTTGCTTTGTTTCGTTACTAACTTTCCCCTGTGGTTTAAGTGGAAGTTATAGACAAAATTGCTTTTCTACGCCAAACTTCATGCACATTTTTTCCTAATATTGCAATACCCATCTTGTAACAACACACTCTGTATTTCTCTCCCTGTGTTTCCAGCTACTATCCATCTTTTCCCAGCCCTTCCTGATTTCTAAGATTTATCCTTGGGCAAGTGCTCCGTTTGATCTCCTGCGTTCGGTTATTTGGAGGAATGTGTACACGTTTGTTGTCACTGTTGATCTGTGAGGCCTGTCTGTGGTTTGGATGGAAATTGAGCGATAGGAGTTAGTTGAGCTCCAGGCTTGAAGGGTGACGAAAGGCCCTGGTCGCAGGGTTCTACCAGTCTCTAGTAGATCAGCGAGGATGGTCTGTTTGGTAAGCCTGAATGCTGGTCCAACATTTTCTGGGAAAGCCTATTTTTAAAGATGAGTGCAGTGCATGCTCTGTGAAGGAGAACTTCAGGGAGTCTCTAGCACTGACACTGTGTCCTCATCCACAATCCTGTCTGAAAAAGATCTATCAAGAGGGGCTGGCTAGAAAAGGTTGCATAACGACTGTACCATCTGCCTGTCTGTCTTGCTGCAGTGACTTGCGTGTTGCTCTGACACCAGAAATCTATCTTCCCGGAGCATCCAGACTAAGACTAGGAAGCAATGCCTAGTGATCTATATATGAAATTGTTATGAAATGAAAATTCTGCAGATCACATCTTCTGATCTGGAAGCTGAGCCCCCCCACGGTGGAGGACACTCAGAATACACAGCGGTCACAACAATGGACTCAAGCACAATGAAGATTGGTAAGGTGATGGCCGGCTTGGGCAGCATTACTTTTGTTATACGTTAGCAAGAGGGGCTGAGCTAATCAGAGCTCCACCACTATAAAAGGTAGCAACTCTTACAATAGAAGATGGGACATTTTTCATGGAAACATCTCGGAACCAACTCAATAGTGGCTAATACCAGCAACAAATAAAGTGCAGCAACGTCTAAGGTGGAGGATGATGGGAAACTCTTTTGTGGAACATCCCCAGAAAACAGTAGAAGGAGAGAGAAGGGTGCACCCCAGAACACCGGTCTCACCATGGCCAAGGGCACGATGCCCACCAGGTCCTTCTGGCTGATGAAGATCTCAGACATGGCGATGTCTGTGGTGCCCCTCCGGGGGTACTCCACCTGCCACGTGATGGGCTGGGTCCCCGAGAGGCTGCTGAAGCTGGCGATCTCGAAGTTCATCTGTACGACCTCGTTGAAGAGGCTGCTGCTTCTGGAAGAGAGCAAAGGACGGCTTTAGGATGATTCGGTGCAAAGGAAAGGTCCTCCCCTCTCTGCTGCCTACTCCGCTCCATAACGGGGCTCCAAGGGATGGCTTTAGGACAATTCAATGCAAAGGACACATCCCCCCCTCTGCCACCAACCCCACTCCGTAACTGGGCTCAGAACGAAAGGACCCAGGAAACACTCTGAACATCTTATGGAGCGCCAAAAGGACAAGCTGATCTGTCCTGGACAAAGTGAAACAAGGTGTTCCTTAGACGGAGGAATGCTGAGGCTTTGTCTCACATACACTGGGCATGATGACAGGAGAGGCCAGTTTTTTGAGAAGGATATCATGCTAGGAAAGACTAAGGGTTGGTGAAAGGGGAAGCTCCTCACTAAGACGGATTGACACGGCGACTGCAATGATAGGTGTGAACATCTCAGAGATGGTGAGGACTGGGCGGAGTTTTGTGCCGTAGCACTTATGGCTGCGATGAGTCACATGTGACTTGATGGCACCTGGTAACTACAACAACAACGGGAGAGCTCAGTTGGCCTAGTGGATAGAAAGTGACGCTACCAAGCCAAAGGTGGGTGATTTTAATCTGCGGCCCTCAGGCCTTCTAAGTGGTGTAGCACTTGTCTGTGCATTACTTACTGTACAGAGGTAACTCATGGTTGCTGTGAAGCGGAACACTGGGACACTGATGTGTCAAATGTGAGAATGGTTACCCATGGTGGACAGTGTTTGACAGAGCTCCCCGATTAAAATCGGCTTAGAAGCAGGAGTGGCATTTACTTGCAAATAGCTTTGCCTCCAGAAACTCTATGAACTTGGAGAAATGATGAAAGTTTTACAAGTGTTCAGTTCTTTCGTTCGGGTCAGTATTACTCGACGTCTACAACTCAATGGTACTTAAGAAACATACACACACACACATCTACATATATAAATATAACTTATAGAAATACAAATATATGTGTACATGTGCATGTATCTATCTATCTGTGGAAGAAAGACAATCTCCTGTGTGATTTATAGCCTCAGAAAGCCGATGGAGGGTCACCTTACCTCTGAGTTCATTATAACTTGATGGCATTGATGGTGTAAGAGTGAGTGATACATACACATTTTACAGTGAAGGTTTACAGAGAGGCTCGCTTTCCCATTCAACAGCTCATACTCATACACACGTTGTCTCATGATATTCATCGCAGTCTCCCCAGTTAACAGCACCCTTCCTATTTCCTCCCTGTGGTGCTTGTCTCCCTGAGGTTTTTAGGACTTAGGACCTGAGCTCAGTGGCTTTAGGGATGACTAATCCACTTCCCAAACAACATGCCTCTGGAAACTCTCAGAACTTTGATAAATGATGATAGTGATAGAAAAGCTTCAGGCCTTCTGTTCACAGGGTCACTATGAATCGTGCTTGACTCAACAGCAATCAGTAACAACAACAACAACAACAGCAATCTAATGCCAGGACTCCTTCGTGGTTCAAACAGTGAATATGTGATTGCTAACCAGAAGCTGGAAGAGTTAGTCCACCCAGATGTGCCTTGGAAGAAAGTCCTGGTGCGCTTCTGACAATGAACCTGTAGGCCTCAGTTCTACTCTGATACAAGTGGGGTCTCCACGTGTTGGAGCTGATGCCGGGGTAACATATGAGCCTGATGCCAACTGCAAGATATGGTAAGGAGGCTGGCTCTGGCGCTGGCTGAGAGCAAGTTGCTCTCTGTGGTGGTGCTGTTAGGTGCCATCAAGTCATTTGCGACTCTTAGCGACTCTGTGTACACAGCTCAGAATCCTGCTCTATCTGGAGCCAGCTTCATTTCTCTGACACACTTACCCCCATTATCCCAGCCACTGAGTCAATCAGTCTCATCCAGCGTCTTCTGATCCTGCGCTGTCCCTCTACCCTCCCAAGCATTATGTTTCTCTCCAAGGATCGGTCCTTCCTTGCAACATGCCCAAACTTCATCTGATGGAGCGTCAAAATCCTGTCTCCAAGGATCAGCCTATTTCACCCTCCCCAGGCTGATCCTGTTTGTCCTCTTAGGAGTCCATGGTATGCATATTCAACACTCTTCTCCAGCACCACCACTCAAAGGCACCGATTTTTCTCCTATCATCCTCAGTCATTGTCCAGCTCTCTGAGGCATAGCAAGTAATGGCAAAGACCACGGCCTGGATCAGGTGCACCTTAGTCTCCAGAATGACATCATTGCTCCTCAGTTTTCTGGAGAGATCCCTGACAGCCAATTTTCCCAGTGCAATTCATCTTTTGGTTTCCTGGCCGCTGCTACAAGAGTGTTGTTTGTGGAGCCAAGCAAGCTGAAGCTGTTATAATATCAATCTCTTTGCTGTTAGGCCACTCACCAAGGACTGGGATTCACAGAGGTTTCCTTGAATCAGACCTGGTTCCACAGTTCGTGTTATGGTGGGGGACAGAGGCCAACCACAGTCAGAGGATGCACGAAACAAGCATAGCTCACGTATGCTAATTCACTGATGTGCCCTGGACAGAGTCACAGGCCTTCACCACATTAGTGATTCTGCTTCTAGGGGCAGTTAGCATCTCTCTCTCTCTTCCAACCCCACATCCATCACCTTCCTACAGAATCAAAGCATCTTTCCAAATTGGCCATTCCTGACCAGGACAGCACACCCAGTTAGCAAGGAAAACAGGGGCTCACCTGTGCTGGGCCTGCAGTCTTATCTCTAGGGAAGAGGGTCACATGATTTCACAGCATCTTTCATGGTGGAATTGGTCAGTATAAATTAGTAAGTAAACACAGGTAACACTGTGTTTACTTTGCTCTTGGGTAATTGACCTGAGAAGAAGGGAAGCAGGTGCTGTCTGTGGTTCTTTCTGCCATCCGTGCCCTGCTCCATCCCGGAACAGACAAAATTTCCACTAAGCATCACCGAGGCAGGACCACAAGACCCCAGGCCGGGCCACATGGGCTTGTGTGCTGCTGGAAATCACACAGAAGGGAACTTAAAACACTTAACGTGACTCCAAGAGCGTTCAAGAGTCACCACTTGCTAAAATCAATAGTATAGATTTACAGCAATGACTCTTGGAAGAAATTTTCAAAATTGACTTTAAAAAAAAAGGTCTTACACACCAGCAAATAAATAAATAAACAAACTCCCCCAATAGTCACAATAAGGTTTGAACTCCTGGAAACCCCAATTTACCAAACCTCTTAGTGGCTAAACACCACCTGTGGAGTCAGGTGTGTTAAAAAGCATAAAGGGCTTCATCTCCCCCTCCTGGGGATGCAAAGGGTTTCACCTCCAATGCGGCCTGCCAGCACCACCGATAGAAATGAGACCCACAAAATGAAGCAATCTAGGACTGCAAAGACTGACAGAAGAACGTGCCAGGAGAGCGGGGTTCTTGGCTCAGGCTTTATTGATTTTATTTTAAGTTTATTTCGTGAAGGTGAAGGCCCTTGGAACATGGAAGGGAAGAAAGAAAAATAGAGAAAGGCTTTCTGGAAAGTTCCCTTGACCCTAAGGTCAATGCTGGGGTCTCTGTAGGAATTATCTAGGGTGCGGAAAGCAAGAGATTAAAAAACCTCGGTTTGATTTCAATGCTGTTGTTAGGTGCCTTCACGTCGACTGTGACTTGAGGGACTTTATGAAAAACAGATGGGAATCTGGTCCTGTCCACACCACACTCCCGGTCTCTGCCACATTCACACACAGTGCTGCCATCCCTGCATCAGTCCGTTTTGTTGAACACACACAAGGAGAGGAGAGGGGAGGGGAGGGGAGGGGAGAGGAGGGGAGGGGAGAGGAGAGGAGAGGAGAGGAGAGGAAAGAGACGAGAGACGAGAGACGAGAGAAGGGGGGGCAGGTATGCCTGAAATATGTGGAGTGTCACCATTTTGATCTGGATATAGTCAATCTTGATTTTAGAAAACTCTGGTGCTCTGGTGGCCTACTGTAAGAAGTTGCACACAATGATAAGGGGGAAAAAAATCCAACCCCACCCAAAATAATATATATTTTTTTTTAAAAAGCCAAAAAATAAAACAGAAGCTGCACTGCAATCCCAAAGGTTTATGGTTTGAATCTACCAGCTGTTGTGCTAGAGAAGGATGGGTAATCTCCTCACAAGCTATTTACTGTTACTAAAACCCCCTGGAGGGTCAGCTGTGGGTTGGTTCGACTCAATGGCACAAGATCTGGTGGCTCAGTGGTAAGGAATTGTGCTGTCAATGCAAAGGTATGCAGTTCAAATCCACTAGCTGCTCTGCAGGAGAAATACAGGTAATCTCCTCCTGTGCGATTTACTGCTTCTGAAAACCCGCTGGAGGGTCAGCTACGAGTAGGTTCCAACTCAACGACACACAACAACAATCCTGACTTAGGTATATGTTGTTGTAGCTGTGCACCATTGAGAATCGCATGAGAGGAGAATGCTCATCTTTCTCCCACAGAGATGCTGGTGGAATGGAACTGTGTGACTTTGGATTTGGCAACAAAATGAAAATTTAAAAGCACTCAACTTTTATCATGATTTGGGTGAAAACTGGCAAAACCAGTTGGTTCTGTAACTCAATACTCATAGACATTTGATCTGTGATATTGATCCCAACCCCTCAATGTAACAGCTCGCCCTCTATTTTCCATTTCCATTTGTGCTGTTCCCTCCCCTCCCTTCCTGCCTCCCATGATTTATCCTGGGCACATAAATGCTCCCCTTTTAATCTTCCATTGTTTGTTCTGAGGAGTGTGTCCCCACCTTAGCTGGCCGGAGGCTGGTCAGGAAGGTGATTTCCATTCCAGGCCTGATGGCAGATTCAGTCAGTCGTGGGGTTTCCACCAGTCTCCACCACAAGAGTAAACATGGAGATTTTGGGTTTTGCTCTGCATTTTTCTCCATTTAGCAAGGATCTTCTGCTGTGGCCCTTTCTCAGTGGCTGGGTGAGCTGGGCACCAGCGAGTACTTCTTGTCTCGGACCATGGGGGTTGAGGTTCTTGGCGTTGAT